GTGTGTGTGTGTGTGTGTGAATGTGTGTGTGTTTGTGTGTGTTTGGGCGTGTGTGTGAGCGTGCGTGTGTGTGCGTGTTTGTGTTTTAACGTTTCTTTCATTTTTAATGGTTTAGAATTTGTATTACAATTTCTTTGTTTTAACCAGTATTGAATCCTTGAGTTTAAAAGGCCCTGGTTGATTTTAGTCTTCTTTAGAAACAGCATGATTGTTTCATTTCTAACAAAGCAGTTGCATTTTAACGTCTATTGTCACCGAATCAGGGGTATTGAGATGGAAATAATCTCGTGGCACTTAGCAAGGATCAAAGCCCTGCCTCAAGTTTCTGAGGCGAGATTCCAAACAACTGCATCATGCTGTCCCCTTTCAAAGGCCTAATTTTCAGATGTAAGACGGGGTGTCCATTGGGGGATCGGGTCGGGTCGGGTTGGGTCGGTTTGCCAGCCAGATTAAGGGCGCAAAGCGGCTATCGTGGGACAAGCCGATCGCGCGTGACTCGCCGACTTAAAAACAAACGCGTTTGTTTTCAGGCGGAGAGTCGGGCGATCGACCCGACCTGACCTAATCCCATCCGAAAAAAAAAAAGGCACTGGGCACCAGATATGAGGATGGCATCCCTACTGTCACCGAATTTCTATTCGAATCTGTTTTATTAGCTGGTGTTGTGGACGTTGTTATTATTGTTGGTATTGCTGTCGCCACTATACCACGCACTCCCCCGAACATAATAAAGTACACCAACACACCCCCCCTGCCCCCCTAAATGCCTTTACTTCATAGCCAGTAAAATGAGCGAGAGTAATTCGTACGCTGTAGTTTTAATTGAAACAAGAATGAACGGTTTCAAAACGGAAATAAACTCACCACTGGATCAATTCGATCCTTTCCAATGTCTTTAATTATCATATTTCAAGTAAAAGAAAGCAGCTGCATAACAAGGAAAGTGCTAGATTGGAACCCACAGGGTAATAGATCAAGAGGAAGACCACATGGAACCTGGAGAAGAGTCACGGAAATGGGTGTACAGAAAAGTAGGAAGACATGGAGTGACATCAAGCAACTAGCCCAGGATAGGGAAAGGTGGAAAGTGTTTGTTCGTGGCCTATATCCTGATCCAGGGTGAGAAAGGCAATGATGGTGATGAAGTAAAAGAAACAGATCGTGTATGGTCACTCATGTCAAATTCATCGGTATGTACTCGGAGTGGAAATATTTACAACAGACACTATTTGAAATCAGAAAGAAAAACATCTGCTCCGGAGTGACTGTGACGTAGGGCACGGGCGATTGGGGAGAGGGGGTGGACTTTTTGTTAGTTTGACAATGGTCAGTATGTCGACTAGCTAACGGCCACTTCGTACTGTAAAAAGTACGGCAGACGGACAAAAAAAAAAGCAGATGCACGGAACATCAGTGCCCTTTCTTACCGCTCGCGAGAAGAAATGTGTGAATTTTTTAAAAAAAATTAATTTAAAAAATAAAAAAATTAATAAATAAATAAATAAAAATTATATATAAGACCGCCAGGGCTCTTACATCGGAACATAGCTCACATCCACACGCAAAGAGAATGGTCGCAGTACCTTTTATTCAGAGTAGATATATGTATTGTAAAGCTACCAGAATACCCTTTATTCAGAGTATGTATTGTAAAGCTACCATAGTACCCTTTATTAAGAGTCTGTATTTAAAAACTACCAGTGAGATGTTAGTCTGAATTGATTGCCATTGTATGCTAGAATCGACAAAATTTAGATTATTCAGGAAGCGAACTGCTTCGACCCTGTCTGTCAAAGCCAATCAGAACTGAATAGGATACAACCATGAATATTCGCCAGTCACAACACGATGGGGAATCAGGAGCTCGTCAGTTGTTTTTCCTTTATTATTATATTTTTCTCTTAAAGCTTGTTAACTGATTCTGCTTTTGATGAAAAAGAAATATCATCTAACTTGAAAAGAAGTCGAGATCAAATTGCGATTAAAGGTGAGAGTTGTCTAGGGCAGAGCTAAAACTAACCAGAAAATAGCCGACGAAGTTGTGTGACTTTTATAGCTTTAAATGTCATTAGATACGGTAAATTTACATTTTTTGATGTCTCCGTTAACGTTTTTCGGTAAAATCCACACAGAAATATGTTCTTAAATGCACCCCTCTCCCCATTCCATCAAGAAAAAACAAATCGATAAGAATTGCTCAACTGTCGAGGAAATGTCGGTTTCTTCAATTTTCATATTTATAATATTTGAAGGATCGATGTATTCAGATTGAAGGACCTAAGTTTCTTTAGAAAGTTCAGCCTCTGATTTACCTTTTTAACAATATTAATTATTGTTCACGTGATTTTGCTACGTCCTAATTTGTTGTCGATTTTGAGACCAATATATTTGTACGAGTTCGTGATTTCAACTGTTTCATGCTCAGTTGCAAAAGGCGCCACTGCTATTCTCGTCTAAGTTCTTCTTTTAAAATAATTTTATTTGTCTTTGAGAGGTTCCGTGTTAGAAATTTTGAATTGTACCATTTAAAAAATACATATTTCTTCCTGATACTCCTTTTCACTGATGGTTATTAGTCCAATCATAGCGTAGTCAATTGCGAATTTTGTTATTACGTGTGTTGTCTGTCAAAATTTCCAAGACTCTTGCTGTGATATAACAATTGACTCTCAGACTCAGAGAAAGTTTTCAATGATAATATGCGGTTGTATTGTATTACATGCTTAGGAAATATCGACAAAAATACTCTCACGTACGTTTAAGGTACCTCGGGGTGTTTAGTTTAACTTTAAGTAAGGGTTTAACTGACAGCATGAATAGGTCATATCAGTGCCAAAGATTAGAGAGCAACATACAAAGAAAACAAGGAAGAGCGATACGACAGATAAATGTTTCATAGGCTAGAAGGGGGCAGACGACACCAAAACACCCCCTCCTCTCCCCTCCCCCTCCCGCAAACCACCCCTCTCTTCGGGAGAAAAACAAGAATAAAAAGAGTGCAGTATTTTTTTTTTCAAGCTTTCTTCCTCGTTCTCGATGACAGCAGCTAGACAGTCAGTCCGATGTCGCGCACAAACTGTGCAGTTCTCTTCAAATCTGAG